GTTTCCTGGTGTTGCTATGGTTGCCATACATGGCTGGTATGCAGGGTTTGTATCCTAAATCCAAGTGAAATGAGCACTAAGACCTCAACTGACTCGTCGTTAAGGCAGATCCCTTATTCACTAAGTAGCGGAAATATGGAACAATGGTAGCTTTGGCACTTCCCTATCTTTGATATGTAAAATAGCAGAAAGAGACGTACTTCAAAACCAAAATTTTATCATATATCTTATGTGCCATTCAAAGTGCTGTTTGGAACCTAACATGGTTCTGAAAAGCCCCATGGGGAGTAGTCATCTAATCCATCCATCCATCCATCCATTCAGAACGAAAACCACTTGCAAAGTAAATATGCACTTTAGATTTTAGGGCAATTCAGTTTGCTGTCCGCGATTTCAGCTTTCATTGATAGATTTTGCCAGGTTTAGACTTAGGCACTCTCTTCAAATTTTAATGAGCTTTGCTATAAACTGATGCAATTGAATATTTGGTCGAAGCACGACAGTATACCGCGGGTAAACAAAAGAGCTGGAAGGCGTTTGAATCAGTGCGCACCGCTCAATTAAGTTGTCATTTGATTTTGCCGCTTTTGTCGTGGTGCTGTCTAATGATGTTATGAAGAATTTAAAGCTAAGTCAAATAAATTTCATCAGTTAAAATTTTACAACTGACTTTCATTTCACTGGAAAAGCTCCATAAAATATCAAAACTACTTCTTAGGCTTGCAAACTTAAAAAAAAACTTTTTGTACAGATTATCAGATCGCAATCGCAGTGATAGTTCATTCAGTTTCCAGTACTTTGATTGGTTTATCGCTCTTTTTGATGGGTTTCATGACAATCAGCGACTTGATTACAAAATAAGATTAAACATATCATTCTCTTTTTATCAAGCTTCCTTCATATTTGTGTCAGAAAAGCTACGCTGTCTCGTGATTTACAAAATTTTCTCGTGTTCTCCCAACATCCCGCGTGGTTTATTAGCCGATAAACCGATAGAGAATGTAGTTTATAGCTTAAATCTACAAGCCCTCTATTAAAACACTGCAATCTGATTAATTACCCTCCCCGCCATCCATTCCGTAACGTTCTTTATTATTTACTTAACAATTTGCCAACGGCAGGTGAATTTACCATAGGACAAGGTTGTCCCCTACTAGGTAAATTACCTTACTCTATCCCCTAAAAGCAGACAAAATCAAAACCCAACCCACTTACAAATTCCCATGCTAAAAAACAAACAAACACAAAAATAAAACAAACAGAAAAAAACAATATATATAATAGAAGGACTTAAGTTTTTTGACGAAAGACGGTAGTTCCTTTTCTGATCTTATGTTATCTGGTAAGGCGTTCCATATGTTACAGATTCTTACAAAAGAGGAAGCTCTATAGAGTGAGGTTTTAGCTTTCTTATTTTTTAGTAGAAGACCAGAGGCGCCACGGTGCGAGCGCCCACCACAAAACTCAAAGAGGTCGTTTCTTTTCAGATCAAGTTAAACCTAATTTGCATTTAAAGAAAAAGACTTTGTCAAGATATTCTAGCCAATAGTTCAGGGGAAGTAAGTTCAGTTTTAATAGACGTTCCTTGTAAGAGAGGCCAGGATCTTTGCATATGAATCGTGTGGCTCTACGCTGGATGTTTTTGATCTCGACCATTAATGTGGGAGATTGGCGAGCCCATGCAGTTGGGACGCGTAGCAGAGATGTGATCTTACCAGTGATAGATATAGGGTATTCACAAGATCTCTTTAGAGGTCTTTTATACAGTTATACGTTTAATAAAACCTTGTATAAAACCTAACACAAAAGACAAGAAAAATGGAGTGCCTGTCAATTATGATATTCGCTCCGATTGATATATTATTGATGATGGACTCGGCCTTCGCTTAAATTAGTTATGACGCAATAGAAATCTTGAGCTCAAAATTTAATTGTTATTTTGGTGAAGCTGTCTTAATTCTTATTGACTACATGCTTTAATTCTTAAGGATACTAGTCCTTACGTCAAGCCTACTCTCAGTAGTCTTCATTCGCGTAATTGTGACGGCATTCTCACAGACGTCATTGGGAATTTAATAGTTAAAGACAATCTTTTTCTAAGCACGCATACTGGATTCAGGATCATGTGGTACTCTTGATTTGCATCATCCCCCTCAGCCTTTGGCGTCGGCAGAAAGAAAAAAGCAAAGTTAAACAAGAAAGTGTAGAAGTCCCTCAGAACATTAGAGAGATTTAGCACCGCGTTTACGTGAAACGTGGACGGTATGAGTGACCATATGACCTTGATTTTCCCGCCATTTTTCACGTTTGCCAGTTGCGATTTGCCGTTTCTGCGTGAAAAAAAAAAAATTCTTTGGCGTTTGTCGTGTACGAAAGATTTTCTTCGCTTTTCCCTCTCATAGAGTAGAAGTCGATTGCTGGAAAAAGGGCACCAGAACCATGCACAAGGGCGCCTTTAAATCAAGCACAAGGGCGCCTTTAAATCCACCATGACGTGAGCTCACGCGAAGCTAAGGCAATAAGGTTTACGCTGTTTTACGTCAAACGTGAAAGGGCATTCTGGTGTTTACCGTTTAACCTAAACGCGATGCTAAATCTCTCTATTAATATGACTTTTATCAGTGTCACTGCTAAAGAAAACCAACAAATACTTTTTTTTCACAGATGATGTAAACTTTTTCTCTCTGATGCACCTCAGACAGTCGAAGAAATGCGGAAAGAAATCCATTATTATTTGCCTTCTTTTTTATCTGTTCACCATAAACAGCATGCTCTACCCTACTAATACTTCCTACCTACTCAATCTCACTCTATGTGTTATGTAACCACTATGTATAACTGAAAACAATGACATTCATTAAATTAAACATTGTTTCAAGGCGACAGGAACTACGTGGTTAAAGGGCAAATCCAATAGTTCAGGTAGCAACTAGTTCCTCTTTTGAAGAGTGTGGATTTTCCATCACAGGTGCAAACGTATCTCCGAACGCCACTTGCTTGTTCCCTCGATATAAGATTATACTCAGCGTTGTAATCCGTTGAGCATGTTACTGCCATTACTTTTGAATTCTGCCAACAAATAAAAAATTACATCAGTTATTTTTTCTAGAAAGGTAATCACGTCATTACGAGGGTCTTTTGGCTTAGATATACTCGAGTTATTTTTCGAAAAACTAACAAACTTCAGNTAGGGACGAAAAGCATAAATGAAAATTCGACTTGCAAACAGTTCAAGGAAGGAATCGCAATCTTCCTAAATATTTCCACGTTTACGACACAAAGAATTATTTCAACATGCATGTGCCTTCATGGAAAAAATGTTTGGAAACATTTGAAGCTAAAAGACACAAATTGAAGTCAACTTCTCCGGCTGTTATCTGAACCAAATTTTTTCGCGAGGCATTTGTTTGCTGACTTTATCAGAAATTGAAGCACGCTCGCGCAATTGAATTTAATTTCACGAATTTACAAGCTATTATAAATGAAGTTTATTCCATTACAAATTTATAAGATTTATCCGCCAATGTCCAAGGAATATGAAAACCCTCTAATTTTGCCTTATCATCAACGGGTGGTTTTGTACCTCAGTTGATAGTGGCGCCCTAAAAGTATCTGGGAATTTTTTTTAAGCTTTTCTCCCGTAACAGCTAGCATTGAAGCTCATCACCTGCGAGTACCATGGTTATCTCTAATTAGTGACAGCATTGTTAAAATCTCAAACTAAAGAAAATCTGCAGACACTCTCATTTAATACCTCATCTTATAGTGTTCGCGAATTTTTTCAAAATTCTAGCTATTTTTCTTCTGGCTTAAACAGAAGCTGCCTGAGGCTACCAAGTATAGCGTGCTTATTTTTAATTTGTAGCGAGGCTTTGAAGTTTTTTGCCTGTATTCCCTTTGCATCTGAATATCGATGTATTTACAAATTAAAATACACTAAATGTATTCAATATTCTTATGATTTTTGTGATAATAACTTTTAGAGTAAAAAAATCCGAGGGTCTCTTGACAAACGTTTGCAAAGGGGTAATTGGGAGGACAAACAAACAAATGAAACAGCAACAAAACAACGACGAAAAACTACTGTGTTTATGAGTAGAACAGGTGATCCATTTAGGCAGTCTCCAGAAATAGTGTAAGAAGGTCAATTACAGTCTTAAAATCTTATTATAACATAAATCACGTAAAAAGCGCACCCTAATTGGTCAATTCAGTGTCTAGTATTTGCCCATGGGTGTATGCTGTTGACGTAGGCAAATGTTTCCAAGTTAGCAAATGTTTCGTAAGAAACTGTTTGCTGTGCTGTGAAACAAATAGTAAACACCACAGCGTACACTGATGAGTTATGGATGCACTTGGGAGGTTTGCTAAGCACTCAAGAAGCTATAGTCGCTTTCAGCTATCGCCTCGAGCGACTCTTACCCTTTTTTCGTGCTTAGCAACCTTGCGCGTTCATCCATAACTAGTGTACACTGTGGTGTTTACCATTTCTTAACTATAATTCATTTTATTACCTTCTGATCCAGTTTAACGATTTGCTTTTTAAAGTCAAAAAAAGTCTGATGTACAGTTCCATTGAGGAAGAACCACAACTCTGCTGTATTTTTCCCCTAAAAAACAGATATTGCAATTGAGTAACACAGCAACCTTTCAAGACAATGATTGCATATGCATGTATGTAGCAGTTTCTAGACGGACAAATACGACGGTTCTCCTTTTAGTAGGAGGTTTGATAATCCTTTGGACGAATTTCCTGCAATATATTTCAAATATAATAACGAAAAAATGATAAAAATGCCAATAGAACCATTAACCCATAATCAATAAATAAATCAGTCAAAGTATCTTATTAGAATTATTCGCAACTGAAATTTTGCTGTAAATTCTGAATGACTGACTGAGACTTACTTCGTTTTTCACCTTTTCCAGTTCTCTCTTCATCTGCCATAGAGAATAGACCTAATATTAGCTGATGTGGTGAAAGCCACGCAAAGAGAGTGTCCCTTTTTGAATTGAAAGAGAGATATAAGCAGTTACCAAACAGTTAGTGGGAAACTTACGTCAGCCAATACAACTTCCAGTTCCCTTAGGTTTTTTGAGACCTGTGACACCAAAATATGAAACAGTGATTGCGATTAAGTGATCTTTTGTTGTTCAGTGTTTTTCATCAGTCTCTCTTCTACTTTAAAGCATCTTTTTTCCATTCTCGATGCAGATCATAGAGAATACAAGAATAGTGATAGTAATAACGAAGACGTCGAGGCTGATGACGACGACGGCGACAAGGACTTACAATAGTTTGACACATCTAGGTTCTCTTACATTTTAAGAATAAACATTTTAATTCCTCGCGTAGTTTTTCTCTTTACGTTTGAGTCAATAACAATCTTGACAGAATAAATGAGAGGTAAAGAAAAGGATAAAAAGGGATGGAATAAAGCAGAGTATGACAAAATACAGTCAGAAGTAAAACACATGGTTCCATGTCATTTTCTTCAGAAGTGTTTGTCCAAATAAATTTGAGACTACCATAAATATATATTTTAGGCTAATAAAGATAAGAAATTATTCCTACCGAGGATTCCCTCAGCGATGAAAGGTTCTTTTTCAACTCTTGTAGATTCTTCTTAATTTCTGACATTTCT